AAAAAAAAAAAGGAACTCGTAGAGAGAAAGAGGTTCTGTCTTTATATTTTCTTTTCGTTAATGGTCTCTACTTTCTGGGTTGCTCTTTGAAGCAATGATGAGGTGATAAGATTAACAGAGATGCAGAATGGGCATCAAGTAACATCAAGAATCTGCATTAATGAACCCAAGAAGCAAAGAAATGCCAAACTTTCAAGGTGAAAAAAGCAAGAATTTAGAGAAGCAAAACCGAGGAGATTGGTTTTTATCTTTTAATTCTAAGAAAGGGAAGAAACAAAGAAATGAGCAGCTCTAAATCAACAAGATATAAGCTCTCAAAGGCAGGAATTTTTAGCTTGGTTTTAGAGAGAGAAATCCATGAATGGACATATATATATATATATATACGGAGAGAAAAAGGAGTGGTTCAGGCAAACAAGAATCCCCGACTTGGCAACGAGGAAGCTCGAAGGCTTTTTTTAAGGAGGAAGCGGAAAGGAGAGTGGCCTTTTTTTTGAGAGAGAAGATTTAGCCACGCAGGATTCTCTCTCTGTCTTCCTCAGCATAAGATTTTGCGCGCCGTTTCGTTCGGAACCATGTTCTTTAACTGAGGAAAATTACCTATAAGACCCCTGAAACTCATCTATTTACGTTCAATTTATCCGTCAACTAAACCGCGGGAAACCAACGGCTTGACTTGTTAACAAGCTGTGGCTCTCAAGATCATTTTCTACTGATAATGGACCTTTTCCTTCTTTCTTTTTTTTTAATTTTAAAAAATATATAATTTCACTGTCAATAATCCGTTTCCCGAGTCATTTTAATTTGCTTGGACAGTTGCTTCTTGCCATAACCTGAACCGAGTTAAATTTGCTGTTCTTAGAGGGTGATTTTGGCACGTAGTTGGAGAGCAAGAAGGACATAGGCCTTCACTCTCTGGTCTCTAACATTGTTTAACGGGCATGCATGAAAAATATGTCGAGAATCTGTCTCCCAAAACATTAAGGCCTCAAGATATGTTTCACAATTTTATTTTTAATAATACAAGGAACGCAGCAAAAAACAGGGAAAAAATAAATTAAAGAGCCTTGTTAGGATCATTCTAAAATATTGAATATTCTTATAATAGTTTTATTAAGCTTTAGTAGATGTCTCTGTGTTATTAAAAAACCAAAACCAATTATAACATAATTGTGTTGACGTAAAATATGCGGCATTTTGCAGCAAAAGAGTCAATATTAAACAATCATAAGTGATATAGTTTAAATAGTTAGATTTGAAATTTATTTATTAGTTAAAAATTATCACTTTAAATTTTATAAATTTAAAGACTATTAAAAACTTACATAAATAGTTAATTTTAAAGCTTATAAAATTAATTGAAATGCACATAAGTGATCCGGATACTTATATTAATATTAATATTAAAAAAATACATATTTATATATCAAGAAAGAAAGGAGTCTTATTAGTTACTTTTTGAATTCACCTTAAAGAAAAATAGAGATATAAAAAAGCATAAAATTTATAACTTATTAAAAATAATAAAAATATTTTTATTTAGAATTTTTTTTATTAATTATATTTAATTTGTTCATAAATATTTAAAGTAATTAATAAAATACTACTAGTTGTAAATTGTAGAATAAAATTTCAGGGCTAACTTGGTGCTTGGACTCCCAGTATTAGATAATTTAGTCAAAACTGATTGTTTTGACCTTTTAGCCTGCTGGCAAACGCCTGTCTCCACATATATAAACATAGAATAAGCTAAAGAACGACATGATTTTAGGCTGAAAATAAGGATATTTTATTTGAGATAATTTATGAAATTATATATTTTTTAATTTCATTTCTATTCAACTTTTAAATTTGTAAGCTTTATTTTTTATTATTTTAATAAACTTAAAAGAATAAAACATTAATAAATTATTTTTTAGTTTATTTGCCTGATAATCATGTCGTCTTCGTGTTTTATTTATTTATTCCTCCCTTTGCCAGGCTAATTTAAAGACCAAGTAGAATGCATCTCAATGCATCTCAGCTCCATGGGTATAATGTGAATCAATTTGAATGAGTGGTATTTTTTTTTTTAATGTTCAAAATATAAAGTTATTAGACTATATGATTACTGATTATGATTAGTTTATCATAATAAATTTAGTTTATAATTCAAGATAAACTTGTAATTAATCAAAATTAGCATACATGTTAAGTATACCACATTAAAACCAGTTTTAGTTTGCATTCAAAACATATATAGAATATATTTACGTAAACAAAATTTTATTGTTATTAAGAATTAATTAATTATTTTTAAAATTTTATTATTTTTTATTTGGTGCTAAAGGGATACATGCAATTAGTTTAAGGTATTCTAATATCGTTGTCTTATTTAAATATCCTTCTAAATAAAATTAATAAATCAAGAAAGTTTAAATATACTTCCAAATAAGATTAATTAATCAAGAAAATAAAGCTGGAATATATTTTTATAAGAACTAAAGTTAAATTCTAGATTGAGAGGAAAACAAAAAAGAGGAATTGAGTTTAAAACATGAGAGAGTATGAAGAAATATAGAGCTAAAACACAAGTAAAGAAGAGTTGCAACGACTGCAAATTCATCCAACTCCTTCACAGGAACTTATTTTAAGTGAAGTAATTATCAAATGGCACGAGGAAGAAATTATACCCAAATTTGAAGTAAAAGAATAACATAGGATTAAAGATGATAATGGATGTCTATGTGTCAGCTTCTATTATATTTATATGCTATACTTTATTGAACAAGTAAGAAATTATCATATTTATTGAGTTTAAGTATTCAAAATATATATGGGCTAGGAAAAACACTACACATGCATGCTCATAAGCATTGTTTATTATAATAGTATAATAGCAACCTTACCCTTCTTAAAAAAAAAAAAAAATCCTTGAATTGGTTATTGGGTATATAATAGTCATTGTATAAGGCTGTATTTTGTTGAGAGGTAAGTTAATTTTTTTTCATTTTAGAAGTATAGTGAAAAAACTAAAATATCACTTGATGCAAAATCTTTAAAGATGGATTCTAGGGGCATTTTAAGCTTCTCACGTATAGTTTTTTTTATATATATAATAATCAGATTAAGCAAAAGATAATTTGATCTTTGAATAAATATAAAATATATTAAAAAATAAAAATAGCTTGTGCACACACTCAACTTGTTGGAGGTACTCACGTTCTTTGAGCAATGCATTCAATGTCTCACAATGAAAAAAATCAATTTTTATTGTGTTAGTAAAAGCAACAAGTCGTTCTCTTGCTGTTTCAGCGATACATGATGGCACTGGTTTGATGCATCAACGTCAGTAATTTTTTTTCTTCTCCTTCCATTATTCTCTCTCCTAAACTTGGAAACCATACTTTGAGCTTTGATTTATATTTATTTAATTCTTAATATTATAACTTGGTTTTTTTGTAAAATTTTAAATTATTTTTAATTACATCTTTTAATCTTAATTTGTAATATATTATTTTGTTTAATTTAATCATCATTTTTTATTATCATCCTTTTTTTATTATTATTATTATGTGATTAAAATACACCAACTTATTTTTGTATAGTTGGGTCGAGTCATATATATATATATAAAACACAGTTCTACTATCTAAACATAATTTTTAACGTAGAAAAAGCTCTATAGCAGAGGACTGGTAAATGGCTAGTGTGTGTGTGTGTGTGTGGATGTATATGTATGTACGTATGTGTGTCGATGTATATCGAATTATTCGACCACTCCAAGCTGCTGCTGCCATTGTAAATATACCATGTATATTATTATTATAAGAGTTGTGTAATTAAATACTGCAAATCCAAGTGTCTTGTGAGGTTCATGCACAACTTGTTTGCTAAGCATGTCTTCCTTTCTTTTCATTTTCAAAAGCCAAAAAGTAAGTGATTGTAGTTGTACACGACTGTACATGCATGCATGAAAAGAAAACCAGTTGATAGTAATCCATAATCCCTGTATATATAATTATATTTAAATTAAGGATGTGTTTGTTTTTTGAAAATTGATTTTTAAAAAATTATTTTATAAATTTTTTGTGTTTGTTTTATATTAAAAAAATTAATAAATAGAAAACATTTTCCGAACAACGAAAAATATTTTTCAGTTAAAGGAAAATTTGACTTGGTTTCCAGAAAAGTATTTTTCTTTTATTTTGAGCGGAAAACACTTTCCGGAAGTTATGAAAAATTTAGAATTGTCATATTATTTACTGATTATATCAAGTTTGATCTTCAAACTTTGGATTGCTATATATATTTTATTTTAAATATTTATTT